ATGGCAATGAGACGATATATGATAGAATGAATGTAAAACTAATGTTCTCCCATGTAAACTATCACATAATTCACAATAAAACATTTAAGAAAAAGGAAAATTATATACCAATATCCCTTATGAACATGGACACAAAATTCTTAGTGAAATCCTAATCAACAGAATCAAAAAAATAATACATCATGACCAAGTGGGATTCACACCAGGCATGCAAAGATGGTTCAAGATTAGAAAGAAAAACAATGTAAAACAAAGGAAAAGAACCATATCATCATATTGATCAACATAGAGGAGGCATTTGATAAAATCCAAAATCTACTCCTAATTTTAAAAAGCTTAACAAATTATGAATAGAAGGAAACTTCCTCAACATAATTAAGGCTTTAATTAATTGCATATAAGCAAATCAATGATACATATTAGACTCAACAGAAAGAGACTAAACATATTCCCATAGCAAATGGCAGTCAGGCAAGGATGCCTATATACTCCTTATTCAATACTGTACTGTTAGAGAAGAGCAATCAGGCAAGGAAGGAAAATAGAAGGCATCCAAACTGGAAAAGAGGAAGTAAAACTCTATTTGCAGATGATATGATCCTATACATAGAAAATCCCAAAGACTCACCAAGAAAATTACTGGAACCAACTGAAAGATTCAGCAGAATGTCAGAGTGCAAGATTAAAATACAACACTCAGATTCCTTTACACTAACAAAGAGAACTCTGAAAATGAAATCAGGAAAACAATACAATTTACAATAGTCACTCAAAAGATAAAAAATCCCACCCATGCTTGCAGATAATACCCACTTAACATGGCTTCAGAGTCTCTTTGGACTGTCAACAACGCTTGACCTCCTGACCGGGTCAGCACGGTCTACATCAGATTCCCCCTTATTTATTATTTGTTTAAGGGACGCTGCCTGTCTTAGGCAGTCAATGCGAATTCCTCAGTCTTACCCTTCATCGAAACCCATTGCAGCATGGCAATGGCTCTGTCTTAGGTTGCCGAGGTTTGGATTTTTTTTCCTTTGATAACTGATTTCATTGGTTGTTTTAAAGATCAGTACAAAGACAATTAGTACACAATTCTTGATATTTACACCAAAAATCTAAAATACCATGTACTTACAATTCTTTTCTAAATTCCATTGACTTTCCAGCTTAAAATTAGGAGGCAAATTTTCCTTAAGATATCAAGGTCTAACTAAACAGCTTCACTGACAATTAATAATACACAAACATACATTCATCTTAATTATTGACAATGCCCAAAAAGCAACAGGAAATCTCAGCTCATGGCCAGAAATAAGATGAGTAGGTAAAACAAATGAGCTGGAGGTAGACCTACAGTTC